AACACAGTGAAGTTTCGTTGCCCAGCCTCAGGCAGCCCCAGCCCCAGCATCCGCTGGTTCAAGAATGGGCGCGAGTTCCGTGGGGAGCACCGCATCGGGGGTATCCGGGTAAGGGCCAGGTTCCCCCTCTGCAGCGTCCCATCATGGATCCGGCTCCCCCATCACACTTCCCTCTTTACCTCCCCCCTCTGCAGCTCCGGCACCAGCACTGGAGCCTGGTGATGGAGAGTGTGGTGCCCTCTGACCGCGGCAACTACACTTGCTTGGTGGAGAACAGGTTTGGCAGCATCCACTACAGCTACCTCCTAGACGTGCTGGGTGAGTGCTCCTCAGCACGGTGCTTGTCCTGGCTCCCTGTTCCCTCCATGCCTGCAAAGGGGTTAGGATCATGGGGAAGGGCGTGGAAGAGCCTCTGTTTGTGTTCTCTTTGCTGGCACAGCCTGTGTGTCCCTGGCACCCCAGGGATGTGGGAATGGAGGCCAGGCTCAGGTCTGCACTGGTCTGCTGCGGGGCTGGGGAAGGGCTTGCTGGAACTTCGTCGTGGGTGGAAAGGGAATGATAAAGGAGTCCTGCTCTGGGCCACCATGTAGGTGACACTGCCCTGCTCTCCTGTGTGCAGAGAGGTCCCCGCACAGGCCCATCTTGCAGGCAGGGCTGCCCGCCAACACTACAGCCCTGGTGGGCAGCGATGTGGAGTTCTTCTGCAAGGTCTATAGTGATGCCCAGCCCCACATCCAGTGGCTGAAGCACATCGAGGTGAACGGCAGCAGCTACGGTCCTGACGGGGTCCCCTATGTGCAAGTGCTCAAGGTAACAAGGGCTGGAAGCACCCGGGACCCAGATACATACCCTAAAGTGGGTGCACAGAGCCCCTCGAGGAGGAGGGATGCTGACCATCCATCCCTCTCCCTGTCAGACTGCAGACATCAACAGCTCCGAGGTGGAGGTGCTGTACCTGCGCAATGTCTCTCTGGAGGATGCTGGCGAGTACACCTGCCTGGCAGGGAACTCCATCGGCCTCTCCTACCAGTCTGCCTGGCTCACTGTGCTGCCAGGTATGGGTGGGGGTCCTGGGGTGGGAGCTGGGACCCCTGGCATGCAGGGACCATATCTCAGGCCAACTGATTCACTCCTTCCAGAAGAGGAGCTGGTGCGGGAAGCTGAAGCCCCCGAGACCAAGTACACAGACATCATCATCTATACCTCGGGCTCGCTGGCCGTGGCCATGGCCATCATCATCATGGTGCTGTGCCGGATGCAGACTCAGTCAAGCAAGCAGCCCCTGGAGCCCATGGCAGTCCACAAGCTCTCCAAATTCCCACTCATCCGACAGGTTGGTGCAAAGCTGGAGCCCTGGAGGTGTGGGAGGACCTTGCTGACCGACTGGCTCCACAGTGTCATCACCTTACTCTGCTGCCAGCCTTGCAGCTGCCCTCCCCACTGCTTCTTGTGGCTCCCTTGCCCTGTGCCTCCAAGTGAAGCTCTCTCTGCAGCAGTCTGTCTTTGGCTCTGAAGCACACGGCAGGGTGGCTGAGGTCCCTGGGCTCTCTCCACAGTTTTCCCTGGACTCCAGCTCCTCTGGGAAGTCCAGCACATCCCTGATGCGCGTCACTCGTCTCTCCTCCAGCTGCGCCCCGATGCTGGCTGGGGTCATGGAGCTGGACCTGCCCCTCGATGCCAAGTGGGAGTTCCCCCGAGACAAGTACGGCACTGTGTGGGGCAGGTCGGGGATGGGGGCTGCTCTCCCTGGCTGTCCTGGGGACAGCAACACACGGGTGATGGATGGGGAGGTCTCTGCAGCACCACTGTACACTGGTGTGTTGGGATTCAGCTTAGATGGAGAGGGGCAGCCCTGTGGGGAAGCGGAGCCATTCCTGTGGTCCCTCATGGTTCTGCCTGTCCCTGCCAGGCTGGTGCTGGGCAAGCCTCTGGGTGAAGGCTGCTTTGGCCAGGTCGTGCGGGCAGAGGCTTATGGCATCGACAGAGACCGGCCAGACAGAGCTGTCACCGTGGCTGTCAAAATGCTGAAAGGTAACGGCTCCTCTGCCAGTGTCCCACGCAGAGGTGCAGCAGTGCCAGGCTGTGGTGCCACCCCAGCCGGCATGGTGACACATCCCTCCTTCCCCAGACAACGCCACCGACAAGGACCTGGCTGACCTCATATCTGAGATGGAGATGATGAAGCTCATGGACAAGCACAAGAACATCATCAACCTCCTGGGAGTCTGCACGCAGGACGGTGAGGGGGCTCTGGAAGCAGGGCTCAGGCAGGGCATGGGCATGGAGTGCGGAATGGGGGCTGTTGGGTTCAGTAGCAGGCATAATGCTGTCATGGGAAAGGGCAGGGGCTGAGTGGAGTGGACGCCTTCCAGGTCCTCTGTACGTGATCGTGGAGTTTGCTGCCAAGGGCAACCTGCGCGAGTACCTCCGTGCCCGCCGCCCCCCAACACCTGACTATGCTTTTGACATGGCTGCGATGCCCGAGGAGCAGCTTTCCTTCAAGGACCTGGTCTCATGTGTCTACCAGGTGGCCCGTGGCATGGAGTACCTGGAGTCCAAACGGGTAAGACTGGCACAGCCTGTGCAGGGACTGCTTGTGCTCAGCACAGTCTGGGTGGGGACATGGCAGTGATGGAAGAGCTGTGTATCCCTGGTGAACCCACTGTCCCCATGAAGAAGGAGCCCAACCCCTTCCCCTGGGCTGTCCAGAACCTCCCAGCCACATCCAGCAAAGCTTAGGGTAATAACTCCCCAAAAATGTGGGGCTTAAACCTTCTGGGTGTCATGGACACATGGAGCTGGAGCCACCATCTCACACCTTCCATGCGTGATGTTACCCCTGGCAGTGCATCCACCGTGACCTGGCTGCCCGCAACGTGCTGGTCACAGCAGAGAGTGTGATGAAGATCGCTGACTTTGGCTTGGCCAGGGATGTCCACGACATTGACTACTACAAGAAAACTAGTAATGTGAGTGGGGGCCCTGGCGCTGGGGGGGTACAGGGACCCCCAGCCAGGGCTGAGCAGGGGGCTTGCTTTCATAGGGTCGCCTGCCAGTGAAGTGGATGGCACCTGAGGCCTTGTTTGACCGTGTTTACACCCACCAGAGCGATGTGTGAGTCCTGGGGCTGAGGGTGCTGTCTGTGGGGGTTGAGGCAGGGCTGTGGGGGTTGTGCATGTACTGGAGGGTCCCCGTGAGTAGTTCAGGTGTACTCCATGGGGCATCCAGCAGCAGGGCATAACCTCCCCAGGGCTGATGCCACCCTTTCCCATCCCTGCTCCCATACAGGGTGCAGGAGGGTGAGCTGAGGTCCAACCTGCCCAGGGAGGGTCCTAGGATGTGTTTGACCTCACTTTGCCATGTGTGATTCCAGGTGGTCCTTTGGGATCCTGATGTGGGAGATCTTCACCCTGGGGGGCTCCCCCTACCCTGGCATCCCTGTTGAGGAGCTCTTCAAGCTGCTGAAGGAGGGGCACCGCATGGACCGGCCATCCAACTGCACCCACGAGCTGTGAGTACCAGCCAGGCAGGGTGGGCAGGCACATGGTGAGACCCCACTAATGTGCCATCACCCCACAGGTACATGCTGATGCGGGAGTGCTGGCATGCTGTGCCCTCACAGCGCCCCACCTTCAAGCAGCTCGTGGAGGGGCTGGACAAGATCCTGGCAGCCGTTTCAGAGGAGGTGAGTGGTTGGGGGATCTCACGCTTAGTGGGGCAGCATGGGCACTGACAGCACTGGTGCTCATGGTGCCATCTCTCACTGCAGTACCTGGATCTCTCCATGCCGTTCGAGCAGTACTCGCCCTCCTGTGAGGACACCGCCAGCTCCTGCTCCTCCGATGACTCTGTCTTCACCCATGACCCACTGCCACTGGCTCCCCGCCTCTTCTCCTACCCCCGTGTGAGGACTTAAGGGTGGGCAGGGGAGGGTGAGGACTTAAGGGTGGGCAGGGAAGGGTGATGCCGCAGCTGCCTCTCATTCACAGGGAGCGAGTCCAGCTTATCACAGGCTCCCTGCTTCACACGGTGTGAGCAGTGGGCAGGCAGGGCCATGAGCTGCAGGGCCAGAGCAGGGTGTCCTCTCTGGGTTCTGTTTCAGCATTGAGCCTTCGGTCCTGGCTGGGATCTTCCTGGCGTTGCAGGGCAGCGGGAGCCAGAGCCTCTGCAGGGTGGGTGCTGCCTGGGATGCTCATGGCAACGCCCAGGGACCTGGGCTTTGGCTTCAGTGGAAGTGTCTCTGGGCAGGAGCCCTGGTGCCTGCCGGGCTCCTGCTGCATCTGTACATAGCCACAGAGATGAATATTTATGTATGTGAAATACCGACCTGATAAATTATTATTTTTTTTTTTTTAATAGACCCCGGTGCAGTTTCTGGGCTGCTCCTGGGGGGTGAAGGGTGCAGCTG